GCATGATATCAGGTCTGTTTTATCCACAGGATCTTACAGTGTTGACTAAGCCTAGATTGTTTATAATGCAGAAGTCTTCCCTGCCAAACAGATGCAGTTACACCAGCATGACTAAGCCATATGCACAAAAGGACTGAAACATCTCCACCAGATGCAGGAGCGACATCTCAGATCAGGAATACCCTGCTCCCCCATCCCAAGAGTCTTCTCAAAGAGGCACTTTCAGCATCACCCCTTCCTTCCACATAGTCTTAGCAGCTCCTGAGTGCAGGTGCTAAAGAAAAGCGGCACGTCCGTGTTTCGGGTACTACTAGTCTCCTTGGAATAAACAGCAGTAGGCCAGAGGGTCTTTGGGCACAGGCTGGACATTTCTCTGAATTACTCTAACATAGAACACGGTTCAGGCTGCATGAACTCCCTTTGAGAAATATGCGTGTTCATAACTCCTGGAGCATACAGCAAGGGATCTACCCGTATAAAATGGTGCAGAGATCAAGCTCTCAGTGCCTCTTCTAGGACACTAATGGTCTCTGTGTCCAGGTTTACAAAAGCATTGTTAATCCTGCATGTAACACAAAGTTCTGACAGCAGTTGCTTACTAATGCCCCGTTTACAGTTAAATTATGCAACACCTCAATGAGATTATGGAAGCTGGCTGGTGTACTTCCAAGCTGAGTCATGAGGGTGTTGAAGTATCATTTCAAAGCTGAAGCATCAAATGAAATCCTCCCATCAGAAACAGTCTTAAAACTGTTGCTGCAATTGTGCTCTAGTCACCTATAGCTCTACTCATTTCAGAAATGAGCATTAGGCATTTCTTGACCAAAACCCTAGTAAAGTAATCGACTCTGACCTAGAGTCACTCAGTTGCACCGTTTAGTACCACAGAGCCCTGAACAAGGGAGTGTTACAAAGGCAGGATAAACCGGAGAGCTTCCCTTTGATCCAAGCAAGTCTTGCTGTAACAGATACTAGCCTCAGCTACCGCATGCCTTCATTTTGGGGTACACTGTTTGTTTACCCGTCTTCCCCATGGCCTTGTTTCAGAGCAGTCACCAAATCAGTTGAGGAGGTTAACGTTTAGGGGGAGATGCTACCGCATTTGTGGAGTCTAGATGCTCCCCTGTCTCAGATGGGCAACTGTAAGACTTAATTTGTGATTTAGACAACCCTGCGTTTTACACGTCTATACTGTGAAGAGACAAGAGACATCGCTAATGCCACCTCTGATGGACTGTCAGGCATTAAGACAAGTCAATAAAACAGTACTAAAGATTGCAAGGCAAGGCGAAATGCTTTAGTACCAAGTTACTCCTACCACAACACATCCCTTAGTTCAGGCAAGTTTCTGGCAAGGAGTACCATCGGGATAGCTAGATGCTACATAACAACAGATCAAACTTGTAAGACACTGTTCCAACATCACTAAGTTAAAGATATTTCATATATGAATAAACTTCTGGGTCTACTCACTGACTACCAACTCTAGCCAGCACAATATATCTCTAAAGAAAGCAGAGCATAAAATGCTGAAGGACCACCTTGTGGGCCAATTCTAAAAGCACAGGCTCAATCACTGGCATGTACCAGCACCATCACTACTTGCCCTGGTTTCAGCTCAGATAGAGTTAATTTTCTTTCTAGTAGCTGGTACAGTGTTATGGTTTGGATTTAGTATGAGAATAATGTTGATAGCAACAACTGAAAACATCAGTGTGTTAAGTAGTGTTTATACTAAGTCAAGGATTTCTCAGCTCCTGATGCCCAGCCAGCAAGAAGGCTGGAGGGGCACAAGAAGTTGGGAGGGGACACAGCCAGGGCAGCTGACCCAAACTGGCCAAAGGGCTATGCCAGACCATGTGACTTTATGCCCAGTATATAAACTGGGGGGAGTTGGCCCAGGAGGGGTGGGGTAGATTGTTTGGGAAGTAACTGGGTATCGGTCAGCAAGTGGTAAGCAACTGCATTGTGCATCACTTGTTTTGTATATTCCGATTTTTTTTATTATTGTTATTGTCATTTTATTATCATCACTGTTATTTTCTTCCTTACTGTCCTATTAAACTGTTCTTATCTCAACCCACGAGTTTTACTTTTTTTTTCCCCCAATTCTCTCCCCCATCCCACTGCGGGGGGGGGAGTGAGCGAGCAGCTGCATGGTGTTGAGTTGCTGGCTGGGGTTAAACCACGACACTACTCCAGTGAATGCTCTGCTGTTCCAGGTTTGTAGTATTCACCTCGCAAACCTCAGCTGATTGATTACACAAGATTTCTCACGCAACTGTAGTTGCTCATCCTTCTGAAGCATCCAAAAAGGTTCCGTTTTCAGTGAGAGAGTCGTGATCTCCTATTACGAACTTTCACTTTCTTTTACTGGATACTGCAGTTTTCACAATTTCATAATATTCTGGGCCTGCTGCCAGAGACCCACTGGCTACATCCATACTAGTAAATTAAACAACATCAGGGAACATCCCCGGGCACTGGAACACAATCTATACCATCAAATTATTAGAATGATCTCTGGCACAGTTTCGAGCCTTGCCAACTGGTATGCCCCCAAATGATGCATGGGAAGGTTCCCCAGCAGGCAATCTGGTGGTGGGGGAATGTTAAAGGATAGGTCAGAAAATAAGATTTGCTGTACAACTGGGACTCTAGCATTTAAGTTGGCCACAGGACAACTAGTGTCCAACCTCTTTTACTTACTAGAATCAGCGTAAGGAGGTTTGGTGGATCTTTTTAACCCCTTTTGGCTGCATGCTGGGGAGGTGGGGGCATACTGAGCAGCTAGCACTTTTCAGTCACTGCAGTAATAACTTCTAATTATTCATAATTGCATCTTCCAGCTCCTGTAGCAAGAACCTCACCATCATTTCACAGCTCGGTGTGACTACAGATGCAGACTGAGGAACTTTTTGCAAGTTAAACACCCTTCAGAGCAGAGCCGATGCTGCTGGAGGATTAAGCTAGCAGCTTTCCTCTTCGAGGCCATGAGTCAGTTGATGTAAGCGCACGATAGCAGAGCACTCCTTTGCCACTGCCCAGACACGCCAGAGTCAGCCTCTTTTGTTAGGTGCTTTGTTCACTGATGGGAAAGTAGTCACAATCTAGATGATTCCTCCGTTAGGACAGAAAGAGATTTAGAAGTCAAAGCTGTCTAGCTGCAGGCTGTTAGGCAAGTTTCGATGCAAGCCTCACTACCACTTTTCCACTGCACGTAGGTGCCACTTACACCCTGTTAGAGCCAGTGGGGTGGACAAATCTCATTTGGCCATCAAATCTGCTGGTGCGAGAGTCTCTGTTACAGTTTCATAAGCACAGACCACAACAGGGGAGTGAAAAATATCACATATATTAGTGTTTGCATTAGATAAGAATTCAAGCAACCTTTGTGGTTCCTCTAGTTTGGGCTTTTACTCCCCTTACCCTTCAACTTCTTGACCAAAGAAAGCCTGGGCTTTGTCCCTACAGAAGATACCTGTTAGCTGATCAATGGGATAAGAGGTCCTCTCTTCTGCAGAGATCTCTTACCAGAGACTGATGTTTTGGTAGGTAGACAGGCTGCTCTGAGCTCTTGTGGTTGTGCAGAGCACAGGCATCAAATCTCCCAGATCACCATCCTGGGGTCAGGGCATATGGCCTCCAAATCCTGCTGGGAGCCGGTCAACAAACAGCACATGACAGGGACAGATATCTCTCTATATAAATATATACATACCTGTATTTATATTTCGCCACTGGTCTCAAAGCATACAATAAGGCAGCAACAGGGTCCTGTTTTGGGACAGGACAGAGTCCGGTAGTCTCTTCCTACAGCACTGTAGCTGCCAGCTCTGATCCCCACGGAACATAGAAAGGCTCCCTACCAACACAGCCGCAGCAGTACCGCTGCTATGACATGGAGCTTCACAAGAGCTCTCATCTGGAAATCGTTACGTTAATCACTGCTTGCTCTCCAGATGGTAGACTGGCTCCACTCTCCCCTGCCCACCTCTGGCTTCAATATACAGTCCACTCCTCTAGTAATCTCTAGATGCAAGGGGCTGGGCTGGAGCTGCTGACTGGCTCTGACCAGGATGCGTACCGCGACCAGCGTTAGAAACTACTTGGAAGAGCTTTCCTGTGTACAGCACAGGACAGTCATGGACTGCAGTGCTGCCCAGAAAGCATTCGGCACACTCCCCTTACAGCTGGAACGGAGTTCAAGTTTCCTTCTATTTGAAAGGCAATAAGCTCCTCATCACGGGGCACGGGCAGACAAAGAGCAACCCCCGTTCTCTAGTTATGGCTTGTGTACGCTCAGGTGACGGAGCCAGGGCACTCAGAGGAGGTGTTGCGTGAACCGGCTGTACTTTGCAGAAGGCTGGTTGACAAGAGTGTGTGCCTGGGACTCCCTACAGCCAAAAACCTAGACCGTCAGCCATTGTTTCCATGACCGGCATACAAGACATTGTCATTACTGCACAGGCAGTGCAGAAAAGTTACAGGGTGGAGCATGACAAAAACATAGAAGCCTCCATGAAAGGCAAGATACCCACGAGTATTTTAAGCTGGTTGGCAGGCAGTTCCCTATCTTTTATCAGTACCTTTGATTTAGTCAGAAGTCATTCTGCCATAGCAATCCTGAAGACCTTTCAGTTATTAGAAAAGCCCTGAACACTAAGGGGCAAAATGAGTGGACATTAAAGAGAACCATATTGCAAAAACAAGGGCTATGGAGAAGATAGTTCTGCCAGAGAACACAGCAGCAAGACACTTCAGTGAAGTAGCAAGAGCTCTTCAACTGATCAATACCTGAAGGAGTTTCAAACTAGAAGGCTAGCAGAAAAAGCCATAACTTACAACACCTCCATGACTCAGTTGTAACTGCAGCTCCAGTGACTCAACGGGAAGTTCTATTACCAAGTCCATCCAAATCCCACTAACACGCTGGTTCCCATCCAGCAAAGCAAGCCTCACTGGTGAGACTGGTCTCAGCAGTGAGATACAAACGTTACAGTCAAGCATGGCAAGGAGCCCAAGCTAACAGACTCCGTTGGACCCATGCCGGTTCCACAAGACCCAGAACGTTGGCTGCAGCCAAGCACCGCTTGAGAAACTGAGCGGTTGGGAAACCACCACATTAGCAGATGTTGCTCCACAAGAGTTGCTTGTAGGAGGTCCAAATGTTATCTCACCTTGAGGTAAGGCTTCACAGTGCAGTAGCTTTTCCACTAGCATCTCCACTAGCATTTCTCCAGTAGAAAGTGCACTATCCCAGGCTTCTAGCCAGGCCAGATAAAGCTCATTTCTGTGGTACGCCAGTAGCCTAGCAGAGCAGTAGTTCAAATGAAGTACGCTAGCCAACTCTGACTTAGGACCTGTTAATAATATTGACACTCGGCACTCCTAAGGAAAGACCGCATGCCCTCTGCAGCCTAGAGTATCTTCTCAGCTCAGAAGAGAAGTGAGCCTGTAAGAAACACCAAAAGTCCTCGCACGGTTGGTCAAAACAACTTCCACTTCGCAAATTCACTGCCTGTATCAAAGTCTAGGGAGTAGCAAAGGTTCCTCACTTCTAGTCCACAAATAAACAGTGCCTTTAAATAGTGAAATGCTCAGCTCGCAATCCTCCCCCCCAAAATACATCCGCTTAGGTTTCTGCTCATATTCCTCGCTTCAGAATACTGACACAGGACCCAGCTACACTCCCTCATTTCTTCCACAGCCTTTAGCAGAGCAGGACTACGGTATTGTTTGGAGGCACTGATCCAGCTGCACTAGAACAGGAGGGAGCTGTTGTTCTAGCTGAAAACTGATGTTTCCCACTGCTTTGCTAGTTCTCTTGGCACAGAAACAGCACCTGTCCAGTCTGTTTGTTTATAGAGAGAGTTACCATGAAAATTCCACAAATAAAAAGACTATCACTTTGAGCTAAATTGCTCTCAGGTAAAGACACTAAAGGTGTCGATGCTCCCCTTATAGGCAAAATGAGATCTAATCAACAAAGCCCCGGCAAAGCAACTCATCTTGAAGTAGACGTGCAGGGGCTGGTCAGATAATCGCTCTCTTTGGCTCCACTGATTACATCACCGTGACTATAATGAGAGCTTAGGCACCTAGCACACACACAGACACCTACATTTAGGTGCCCTAACATCAGCTGAACATTGTCCTGAGGGACTAGTGCCATTTGAAGTACCCTATGTCTCAGCGAGTGCATCAATCTCCAGCTGTCCCGGAGTGCTGTATTAATAGTTCTGAGTTAATAGAGTAGGAGACATCCAAGACGAAAATACTAACGCTGCAATGCTGAAGCACAGCAATTTTGTCATTGACAGCACCTCCTCGGGAAAGGGGTCCGGTCCTATCTTCTCGCTCCCAAGAAGCTCCCTCCTCCCTGTAGCAGGCCCTACTAAAATCCCATCTCCCTAGATGCCGGATGACACAAACCAGTGTGGAATGTCCCTCTCGGAGGCATTAGTGTGGTTCTTGGACACAAGAGCCACTTCAAACAAGGTTACGACAAAGTGCTACTATACAGGCCACCTGGAGACACCTAAGCCCTAGCAATGCAAAACACGTACTTAGCATGGACCAATTTTGCTGCTAAAACAGCAGCCTACATTTCAGGTTAGTGCACTAGCTTAATTTTAGAAGGCTTACAGGTTTCTTCCACTTGCTGTAACTTGTCTCGGGTTGTTAGAGAGGATTGTTTGGTTTCCAGAAGTTTCAGACTGCTGCCATTAAAAATGTTAGCTCTTCTAGATGCTTGCAACGGCGAGAAACCTGGAACAAAGGACTACAAACTTGCACCAGAGCCCCCTTACACGATACAAACCACAGCTCATTAGTCTCTGCTCTAATCAGAGTTGACCAGATACAACAGAGTCACCATTTTACCGGCAGGTAGCCACCAGCGAGTGAGTGTTCAGATGGAGAAGCGCTGTTTATAGTGCTTGATAAATAATGTGACGCTGCTCTGCAGGTACTACAGAAGAAAGTGTTTCCTCCTTATCCACTGCCTACATGTTTAATAAGCAAGCTGGACTACCTAATTTCTTCTAATTAGTTTACATTCAGATAGGAATGACATCACCCTTGGAAAAAGGTTCTGCCTGCTCTGCTAAGCTTCTGTTAACCGCCAGCATGCACCTACACCAGATGAAACAATCAAACCCCTGTTCTCCTTCACGGTACAGCCTGGATTGTCCGCTGTCCTCCTGCAGCAGGCTATGCATCTTGGCTCAGTTGGCTTCATGGCAGGGTTATAGTACGTAAAAGGTTCCATTTGAAACAATAACTAGGTTAATCCATTAAGATGGATCAGCCTTCTTATTTCAAGGAAATCAATGCCCCCATCATAACAGCAGAGGGCAATTACTCTGATACAAGGTGTTTTGAGCAATGAAGTGTGACCTTGAAGAAGAACAGGACCCTCCCCAACCTTTCCTGCGGGTAAGAGTACCCAGAAAGAAAACGGCTATCATTCACCCACTTTCTTGGTCCTGCTTATTATTATTCTATGACAATATGCATGGATGCGTCAAGTCATCCGGCACTAGCCAAGGGTCAAGTGACGTGCCAGCAGCAGTGGCAAGCTTTCCAATAATCGGACCACCAAGAACCCAACACAACCACGCCAGTGCCCGCAGCACTGTGATCTGGCATATGCAAAGGACCGCGTAAGGTCACTCTGCTTTCTGTGCCCAACGCACGAGGCGTTCTGCCACTTGATGCAAACACATAATTATTCCAGATGGGTGGGAAAGGCAGCTTAGCCCGTGTCATTGACATTTTGACATGGGAGAAAGGCCACGTGATCACCAGAAGGGAAACAGCCTCGACGCTGAGTCACCGTGGAGAGCCCCAAGGACGTGGGTTCCTCCATGTGTTCGCCCAGGAAGCCCCTCAATCCAAAGCGTCATCCGAGCCTGCGTGTCTCTTGCAGACAGAAAACTCCAGACAAGCATTTACTTCATGTCCTTATCATTTCTAGTAAGGAGTATTTATCACAGGGGAATTTTATCTGAATGCGCTACAGAGGCTGCAAATTAACTGCAGTTTTTCCACTTTATTCAGCAGAAAGCTTATTCAGAAGCTCTGAGCAGAGCCCTCTCCCCCCCAACAGAGCTGATTACGCACACATGCTTGTCATTTTTAGCTGTAACCACTCACTACCACGTGGGCTAGAAGCGTACGTGTCCAGATCTACAGGTAGAGCTCCCAGGCAGAATGGTACAGGAAAGCCGGAGGTGTTCTGAGCAGCTTGGATCCTGCCGAGCAGTTTGTTCTGCCACTCCTTATCCAACCGCTCCCGTAGTTCGTCTCCAGACAAGTTTCAAACCAATTACTCCCCTCCAGAAGGAAAAAACCGCCGGTTTTGACTCCGACGATCCCGCCTGCTCACGCAAAGCCTCACGTCCCACTTTTCCCTCCTAACGCACCCAAAGGAGAGCAGACTCCGGCAACGACGCCCACGCGGGCGGCCGGGACCCCGTGTCCCTCACTCCCCCCCGAGGAGAAAGGGACGGCGACTGGGGCTCTGTGCCCCGCGAGTGGCGGCCACAGCCGCCCACCCCACGCAGCGAGCCCAGGGCCCCCAGCAGCCCTTTTACGAGGCCGCGGTGCCAGGTTTCTGTGGGAAGGCCCTCCGCAGGCAGAGGGGAGGCAGGGAGCCGGGCGGGGGGGAACACACACACACACTCTCACACTCACACCCGGCCATCTTCTGTTCACGGATGACATCTGGCGGCGGAGGCAGAGCCTCCCCGGGCTGGGAGGCTGCCCGCAGCCCCGCGGGGACCGGCCCCGGGACACCGGAGTTTGGAGAAAGCTCC